GATTCAGCTTGTTCTTCTTGCGGAATTGTTGCAAGCACTTCTTTATTGTTTGACACAAACTTATGCAAATGTAGGTTGCCTGTTTTGCAAAGTTCCCTTGACTCTTCGACCAGCTGTATGGCTTTAGCTATTGATGTTACACTAGCAAGTCCATCGTCGACGTAAAAACCTCTTTGGATGAACTGAACAGTCTCTTTATTGAACTTGTTTCTTCCTTCTGATGCAATGTGTTTGAGTCCGAAATTACAACATCCAGGAGATGAGGCTGCTCCGAAAAGATGCACTTTCATCCTGTAAACTGAAGGTTCGGAGTTCAAATCACCATTGTCCCACCAAAGAAACCTTAAATAATCTTGATGTTCCTTAATGACGTGGAATTGGTGGAACATTCTTTCCACATCACACATAATGGCAATGGGGCCCTTCCTGAATCGGCATAACACTCCGACCAGTGTATTGGTAAGATCCGGTCCAGTCAAAAGATGATCGTTGAGAGATGTTCCTTGGAAGCGTGCAGAACAATCAAAAACCACACGTATTTTCTCAGGTTTGTGGGGGTGGTAAACCCCATGGTGTGGGATGTACCATGTTGTCTTGTTGTCCAGTTCTTGTTCTGGCACCTTTTCTGCATCTCCGCGGGTTATAATATCATTCATGAACTTGACATAATCTTTATAGTATTTCTCATCCTTTTTGAGTCGACGTTCCAATGAAGACAATCTGTGTTCAGCACTTTGCTTATTATTTGGGAGATTCGGATCGTCTGTTTTGAATGGTAACGGGAGTTCGTAGTGACCATCTTTCTTCTGTTTTATGCCTTTGGTAACCTTTGACATGAACAAAATGTCTTCCTGTGAAACTTGATTGTCATCTGTTGCATGTTCAGAGAAATCGGATTCCAAAGCTTTTGTCACATCAGTTGGACTGATTTCCTTTACTTGAGTTCTGCATACAAAATGCACTCGTTGCTTGAGTTCAACTGCTGGTTGTGAAACAGGAAATACTTCACGAACAATGATTCTGTGACTTGTACCGATAACATCATTGTGATTTTGAATTTGAGATGAGCAACCAACTATGCTCCAGCCGAGATCGGTTAACTGTGCGTAAGGNGAGTTCAACTGCTGGTTGTGAAACAGGAAATACTTCACGAACAATGATTCTGTGACTTGTACCGATAACATCATTGTGATTTTGAATTTGAGATGAGCAACCAACTATGCTCCAGCCGAGATCGGTTAACTGTGCGTAAGGTTGGTTCTCGTTGCCTGCAATAACTTCACGTGGTAGGAGGGCTTGTTGACAGTTATAGCCAATAAGTAAACCGACTTCGCATTCAAGCAGCGGAGGTAGCTTTTCTGCCAGCTTTTCCAGATGAGGCCACTTTAAGGCTGTTTCAGAAGATGGGATATGTGACCTGTTGACAGGGATGTACTCTCTTGTGTATACTGGTGGCAATGTAATTCTTTTTTCATCCTTATATCCTCTGACTTGAAGGTTTACCAGCTTGTCACATGGTATAACTGTTGACTTGGCAGACATAGTCGACAGACGCAGATTGACTTTACTTTTATTTGTGTCAAGATCTTGGGCTACTTCATCCAAGATGAAGGATGTATCACTCTGTGAATCAAGGAGTGCGTAAACTAAAACCTCTCTGTCTGGGTTGTTCTTTGATGAAATCCATACAGGTAGTATGGAGGAAGTCAATGTGCTTGAAGTTTCTTGAGTTACTTTGTTAGAGATTGCAATCGATGGTTTGTCTCCTTCTTTAGCGTCAGCTTCGTCCTCGTCTTGAGACATTTTACTCACTGCAGGTATTATCCTTTTACGTTCAACAAACGTGTCATCGTGCAGACAAGTTGGA